AAAAAAAAAGAAAAGAAGAAACAAAGAATGAAGTAATAATAAAAATGTCTTCTAATGTATTATGTCAGAAGAGATTAACCATAATTTGATATGAAATAATAAAAATACATAATAATAAAAGAAAGAAAAAGGAAATAAGAGAGAAAGAGAAGAAAATGAATTAAATAAGATGATCACGAAGTTGTTTATTGTGATCTTCATTCAGAAGAAGAATGTCATTGATTTGGTCAAGAAGATCTAAAGAAAATTCGTCTACAACCATATTTTTCTTTGTAGTAATTTGCTTAAAAGGAAGTTCTTGATTAGCTTCAAGAAAAGTCAGAGCAAGACCCTTATAACCAATACGACCAGTTCTTCCAATCCGATGAATGTAAGTAGTAATATCAATATTTTGAGAAGGAAAAATTAAAGGAAGTTCAAGATTAATAACAAAATTAACGTCAAGAATATCAATACCACGTGCCATAACATCTGTTGTAATAAGGAAATTGATTTTATGGTTTCTAAAAGCATCAATAACTTCATCTCTAATATCATTATTACCAGCCATAAGTACAAGTGTTTGAATATTATTTTTATTTAAATAATTCATTAAGTCAATAGCTTCAGTTTTTCTATTAGTAAAAACAACTGCTTGACCACAACCTGAAAGTACTGATTCATCTTTTGAAGAAAGAATAATTTGTTTAAAAATATCAAGAATTACTTTTGGACGTTGTGATGATGGAATATTCATATAAAGTTGACAAATAGTTAAAGGAACTTCATTTTGACGAATTAAAATATGTGAAGCATTATTTCCAATGAATTGTGTTTCTAATTTTGACATTTGGTCAGGATAAGTAGCTGAAACAAGAATTGTTTGAACATTAAAAGGAATAATTTTTTTAATTTCACAAACAGATTGATAAACAGAAAGTCCATTTGCTCCTGGTGATAATTTAGTATTTAAAATAGCATCTGCTTCATCAATAACAAGAAATTTAACTTTTTCTGGTTTAAAATCATTAGTTTGAAGTCCAATTTCAATAGTTTTATAAATTGAACTAGCTGTTCCAATCAAATATTGTGACTTTATATCCCCTTCATATCCTGGAAGACATAAGAGTCTTGTTACATCATCCATTAATTCCGTTAATTCATCAAAAATACTAGCTGTTTGTCTTGCTAATTCTCTTGTATTAACTATAATAATAACTTGACAAAATGGATCTTCTCTATTAATGAGTTGGAGTGTAGAAAGAAGAAATGCCATTGTTTTTCCACTTCCTGATTGAGATTGCATAACAAGATTTTTACCTTTTCTATTTATTTAATATTCTTCTTTCCTTATTGATTTCTTTTTAAAACAAACAAAATAATTGGAATAGCATAACTTTGTATTTGTGATGGTGTAATATATCCCATTCCATTAATTCCATCAAGAATGTCTTCATTTAATTTACATTCTTGAAAACTTGTTGCTTTTCCTTCTCCACCTTTCACAATGATGTCTTCGTCTTTAATAATATTGTCTGTTGATATATTACTCATATAGAACTCTTAATTCCTTCTTCTTTAAATTCTTAAACCCTTTCATTTTCTTTTTTATTATATTTCTTATGCACGCTCTTAGTCCCAAAAATTTGGATTTTGACACTCTCATTGACCAGCTCCACCCTGGATTGCCTCAGCCAAAGTTGCTTGACATCGACAGAGTTATTTCTATTGACACCCACTTCCCTCGTGTCTTCTCCACAGTCTTAACAAAGCGACTGAATCTCCACAACCCGAAATCCCTTTTGTGCGACGATGACCTTAAAACATTGAAGAGTCTACGATCAACCAAAGCCATTCATCTGCGAGGAGAATACACCGTCTGGCTTAAAGAAGTAAAGAAGGAGCAAGCGGGTATTCATTGTGAGGAAAGTCTAACTGACTGTCAAGACAGTGGAATAACAACAGAAAAACATGACTTTCCAACAAGTCATCAAAACAAAGAAGTTATGAAAGAAGCTACTCACATGACTCCACAGTCTGTCATAGAAATTAAACAAGGTAATCTAAAAGAAGAAGATAAAAAGGAAAATAATATAACAGAAGAAGATAAAAATAAAATAAAAGAAGAAGAAAAACAAGAAGAGTTAATTGAAAATATCTCAAATTATTATGGAGAAGAAAGTAAAATTAAGAATTATATACGAGCAAATGAGATAGAAAAAAGAAGAAAAGAAGTTGAGTTAGGAAAAGAAATTGAAGAAGAAATAGCAATGATAATTGGAGGAATTAGTGATGATGTGAAACAAATAGAAGTTATTTCAAGAGAAATAATAGACAAGTGTAAGAAAGACAAAGACAAACGAGAAGGGATTATTATGAAAATAATAGAAAGTATGTTAAGGAATGAAATTGTTGTAACAACAAATCCAAATAGAGTTCATGTTTATGGAGAGATAATAGGAAATATATGTTTTGAATGGAAAGAATATCGAGATCAAATTATAACGAAAATAAGAAGCATCAGTCCAGTATTTAATTCAATATATCCAAAAAGAACAGATAAGATTGAATATGAAATGATAATGAAATATAAAACAAAAGAAAGTGATGAAAAGTATTTTAACCGAATACGACATAGTTTTAAAATATTAACAGGAATTTTAATGAGTGAAGTAGGTGATCAAACAATATTACTTGATATTGTGATGAATGGAATGTATATGCAATATGATAATAAAGAAGTTTGTTTGGGAAGAGTTGGAGATTTAATTGGAAGTATGGTTGAAATTATGCTTGATGAGTGTGGGGACAAACTAAAACACACCGAATACATGCCTCGTGTCATTCAAACGATTAAAGAGTATTTACCTATTGCACAAAGTCATTGGGAAGGAAAAGGACCTCAAGGGGATTATGTCATGAGAAAAATTAAAGTTCTTCTCCAACGATATGAGAAGAACCTTCCCTTCAACAAGAAAGTCGTTGACTATCAAAAAGAACTTGCTGATTATAAAAAACAAATAGGTTTAGAAAGTTGTGTTTGGGAAAATACTACTAAAATTAAAGTTGTTGACACTAATGAGATTCACAGTAAAGACAATATCACCACACAAGAGAATGAGGAAGAGCATAAAGACAATATCACCACAGAAAGGATTGAAGAAGAATCCAATAAAAATACAGTGAGTCAAGAAGAAATTAATAAAGAAAGTGATAAAGAAGAAAATCAAGAAAATACCGAAAAACAAGAAGAGGATAATATAGAAAAACAAGAAGAGGAGAAGAAAGAAGAAAACCAAGAAAATACAGAAAACCAAGAAGAAGATAATAAAGACAATGCTAATACAAAAGAGAATAATGAAGAAGAGAAGGACAAAGAAGAAGAAAAGAGAAAAATACTTGAAGATGATCCAGAAGCTGAAGCTGATATTTATTTTAAACCAATCATTGAATTAAAAGAAATTGAACAAAAAGAA